AAATCATAAAATACCAAAAATAAACAAAAATGTATCTATAAGATACAAAATTGTTTTTAAAGAGAACTGAACACTAAGAGAGTACATACAATCAAACATGTTCGATCGAACATAACAACAAAATTTGTCTTACAGCTGATAAGCATTGATTTTGCTTTGTGATCGATTAAGCCAAGTTTGGTTGGTGTTGCATTTTTGAAGATCACAACAAGCGGAAGCAAGTGTTACAGCATCGAACATGGCACAACACAATTAACATCAACACAACAGCAACAACAACTGTCACAACTGATCGCGTGCGGGTTTGAATTTGACTTTACGGTTTTTCGGTGAACAGTTTTCACGACGCTCTAAATCTGATTGGATGTGCGTGAGGGAAACGTCGCGAATTGGGCGTTTATGGTTAAGTTCTTAAAGTTTGGAACTATAAGAAAAATTATTTAAAATATACGATCGTGCTAATGAACGTTCGTCGAGTTAATAATTTAATAAAGAATTGCATTAAAAATAATAAATAGTTTTTTATAAATTAAATGATCTTGTCTCTTGACAATTTGTTTTATTGATTTTCGTGTTAATTGTGGCTTTAAACAAATTTTAATATATCGCTGAAATTATTCAACACAAAAAAGAAATAATACTAAAAAAATTCTGCAAGTGCAGCGTAAATGAAATAATAAAAAATAAATTTAAGCATAAAAATTCACATCTTGCGTGTTAAGAAGATATTTAAAATATCTGTAGTTCTGTGAGTGCAACGAAAAAATAACAGAAAGTATCTGAAATAAAGGTAACAGAAAATATTCGCATTTATGGTTCACAACTTAAAAAATCCAAAATTTGCGCTTGTGCATGATCAGTTCTGACATAATTGCATTTTAAATTATAATCATTATCTTTTATTGTCGTGCTTTATTGATTCCTGTGGATTGCGTTATTTATATTATTTATTTGTTTTAAATTGAAAAACGTCCGGTTCATTCATATAATTTGCAATTCGTGTACAATAAATGTGAGTATGATTTTTTTCTTTTCATCACCGATCGTCGATCTTAGATCATTTCGTAATTTTATTTAGAAATAAGTTATATCATTGAAATTTAGTCATTTAGATGTTTCAGTCAAAAAGTTTTTAATCTTTAAATTATAATTTTAACATTAAAAATGCTTCTACAAATATTTTTCATGCGTTTTTAAGTGTAACGGCAAATTTATTCGCCAATTTGTATTTTGTGTTATTTCTTAACTACTCGTTTTAGGTATTTTGGTGCTCTTAGTCAGTATTTTAAATTTTATTATTATTCGATATTATTATTATTAAATCTTATTATTATTCAATTTATGTAAAAGAATTTGAATTCAAAACTTACTTTTAAATGACATACCCACTACTTTTATCGATTGCAAAAAATTAGGTAGCTTTACAAGACTTTTGTAGGACATTTAAGAACTGGTTCTATCAAAATTTTATTAAAATTTTGAAAACCAAATATTATATATTTTTTTCTAAAAGAATTATTTTAAACCAATATTATTTTCAAATCTTTTTAAGCTTAAGAACACATTAGACATTAAATTGGAGGATATTTCAAGAGGTTGAAAATAACTCCCTTCAGTCTAACTTAATACTCTAATATGGAGCTATCGATATAGCACTACAGATAATTACAATATCACGAACTTGGTTTGTCTACTCGACCACAAATAGATGCTGGGCGTTAGTAAGACAGGTTTTCGGTTACCTAACAATATACTATTATAAGTTATGTTATTTTTTTAACAAAACATGTTTATTTATGCAGTAATGTAAGTAGAAAATCCATTTTACCTCAGCTGGGATAAAACTCCTTCTTTTCTTTTATTTTAATCTAAAAGCTGGATGTAGTTACAAGAACTTATATTCTCTTGAAAGCATATTTTGGCAACCATACGAGAAAAATTTATTTTGTTAGGATCAAGTTTATACCCTCTTGGAAGCATATTTTGGCAACCATACGAGAAAAATTGATTTCGTTAGGATCCGCTCCGACCTTCATTTATAGGGAAAATATACTGTCGTTCATGTAAAAGTTCAGTTAGGATTAGTTACACCATGAATTCTTTAGATGAATTCGATTGCTGTTATTGTTACTTTAGAAGTTGGTACTCTTATAGTACTAAAAAATATTTTTTAATGCATAAAGGTTTTATCTGTCGCATAATTATTAAAAACTGAAATTGATTGATTTTACTTATTTGCTGTGAGAGTAATAAAAATATATTGTCACTTACGAATTTTAAAACATTAACAGTGCTTTCACTATGGAAAAGCCTTTCTTTCATATGCTTCGCCCCTGAAATCTGTTAAATTAAACTATTTTATTTGCTTAATGAAGGTTAAAATATGTATCTTTGTATGGTTTTTATATAAGTTTTTCGTATTTTTGTTTAAAGTGCGCCATTCAGTTAGTTTAAATGACATCTCACGCACTTATTTATAGTATATTAAAACTAAAATAATATTATTTTTCTTCTCAGGTATATTACAGATATGTCTTGGTACTTTATATGCGTGATGTGTGTTAACAAAATAATGGTTTCAATTTTAATAAATGACTTTAAGATAAATTCTGAATTTTAATTGTTATTGAAGTGCAAAATTATTTTACAGTATTGCAATAACATATAACCAACATTTCGACTCAATATAGTATTCTACATATCAAGAGAAAAAAATTAAAATTTTATTAAAAATTAAATATTTAACGTTCGAGGATATAGCCATGTAAATATATTTAATGCAACATAAGGAATTTGATTTCTATTAAAATATATATTAGTTAATTTTTGAAAACCCAAGTAAGTTCCGTAGAATATAAAAATGTACAAAAAGACATATTCTAAGCTTACATATAACAAAATAACTACAATGGAGTTAACTTATATAGTCAAATCGAATATATAATTACATGTTCAATACACTTTCACTGCAATATTAAAAATAAAATATAACAAAAATAATTTAGAATCGAATTAAATGAAAATTCATTTAAAGCAGCAATATTTTTTATCTCTCATTGATACCATAAAGAAGATTGCAAAGTAAATAGTATATAAATACAAAAGAAAGATACTTTATTATACAAGCTAAGCTTAAATAAATATAATAAATATTATTTTGTAATCTTATACACACTTAAATGAATTCATTGTATTCCATTTACTTAAAAAACCAAAGTACTTTATTTTTTTTTAAAATAAGAAAAAGATTTTTATTGAAAAACAATAAAGATACTTTTGGTAACAACTTTTTAATCGCACAAGAATAAATAAGATTTTTCTGATATTAACTACAATAAAATTATATTAATAATCGAGAGGTACAGGTTACTAATTATAGTAAATACCAGACAATAAACGATAATGGAATCGTTATTAAAGAAAAAAATGATCTGAGTTCGCCAATAAATAAAGAATATTTGAATCCAACCATACCGGCTTGCAAAAATTTATACGTGGGTTTTAATTATACTCCATTTATAAAGATATTATCTTTAGATAAGTTTAATGTTTTACAAGACAATTGCAGTTCTAGTACTAGTAAATATGTAGTTACCAGTTGCCAATAGTATTGAAGTATTTTGCTTTGTTTACAAAGCACTATATAAATTTCAAGGTAGTCACTATAAAGCTTGAAACCTTAAATTAAATTAAAACCTTATATATTCTGTTAATTTAATTTTTTAATAATTAATTTTATTCGTCTAGAGAGGCTACGCAACACCTAAGATAAAATATTATGTCTATTTTGCACTCAAATGCGACTTACCTCAACATGCGCATTACGTTGTTCTGGTTTTTCATTTGCTCTGCCAACCATACGTTTAAGATCTCATAAATATTTATATGCAATATATTTTTTAAATAAATCAATAAATATTTTGCTTGAATATGTCTAATCAATCATTTAGAGCTTACATAAATAACTAGAATATGTAAAATTAAATTATTAATTATATGTCGTGTAAAATGTCACACAATTATTGCAACCCTTTCAATTTTTCATAAATAAACTATGAGCTTTTATGTGATTTTTAATACTGGCTGCTAGTAATTTATGTCGAATTTTTTGAGTACCAAAAATTCTCTTGACTAATATGTAGACTACTTTAATTTTAATCAAATATCCTATTTGTAGAAGTGATAATTAATGATGATAATTAAATTGGACTAGTACATTTTCCAGACAGGTTTTATTATTTAACTTTACTCCTATCAATATGTTAATACAATTATGCTTTCATTCCATTTTTCAACTCATTTTCTAGCAGAAGTACCCATGACACTTTTATAGGCTATATGTTCCACTTCGTTGACTTGAGTTTTCATTTAGGTTTATTATACTTACGAATATTTCATTATACTTTTCAAATAGTTGAATTCCAACACATCTATTAAAACTTTTAGTAGATACTATATTTCAGACACATGGTACAAATGTTTTGAATACTGCCATTATAAGCTATATTTCAATCCAAGTTATTTGCGATTGCCTATCTTCATGTATTAGACGTATGTATTAGATATTACAGCAGTTTGAATACAGCCGCTATAACCCATTTTCTATTCGGTACTTGCGATTTGCCTCTCCCAAGCAATTTTGGCGGCATTTATGAGTAGGGGTATTAATAGTTGTATCAACATGAACCGATTAAACCTAATGTTATCTATATTTTATTTCAAATTATTCAGATTTTATTATCTAAATGTATTTGGTGGTTTATATATAGACTAATATCTTTCAGCAAAAAAGTAGAAATTGCTGTTAATGCAGAACTTTATGAAAAACCTATGATAAAATCGTTACATCGGTGAAATCTCAAACCGTGAAATAGTTTATATAAAGTTCTTCAATTCAAAATACTATATTATTCTTGGCGCTACATACTTTAATGATGAAGAAAATTTATATATGAGTCTATAGTTACAGTTTAAAGCATGCCACGCAATTGTTATTCTCATATTCTCGATGTGTGGTAGACGCAACATAAGTTACTTAGAGACTCAGAGACTCATTATAATTATATTTTTCATCATGACTAATGAGAGTTCTTCTCATTAGAGAAATTTAGAGTCCACTTTGAAAAATCAGTTCAAAGACTCACCATATTTGAAATAGCTGTACATTTAGGACACTGATTCCTAAACGGTGGTCCAAAATGGTTAAAAATATTCCCTGAGTCAAATTTAACAGGTATGTATGCATAGCTTGTAGTTTGTCCATTAAGACCTTACTTATTAGAAAGTAACCACTAAGAATTTTCAAGTAATTATATACCTATATCATACAGGTCAGAAATTCATTGACCTGCATTGCTTTCCTGATAATGTTATGCAGTGTTTAAACTATTGTTCTTAACTCGTCATATAAGTAGCAATATATGCTATTTTTCATATGCAACCCATACAAAGTCCATACAAAATTCCAACAAAATTTATACAAAAATATGCTAAAGAGATTTGATAAGTCTAAGTGAACACATAGTAGTATTGTCAACACAACGCCGATTGGAGTACTTTAACAATCTGATTTGTAAACTACAAAGACAACTACAAAGACACAAAGTCACTAACTTCAAGTTAGATGGTGACTTACCTCACCTCGCAGATCAGCGGTTCCAAACCTTTTTTTGACCAAGGACCACTATGATATTTTTATTTTTAGTAGAGACAAAGTTAGATGATTTTGTTAATTATTAATACTAATTTAATAATATGGAAAACTTTTTGTGTTCCGTACTTAGATTTATTTTAGTGCTTCCGTCCTGCATTTAATTATTTTTTTTTAAATTGTTTTATTATTCCAACAAATGCAATTTCTAAACAATTTCACCTGTAAACACTTTAACATATTTTCTTTATAATATTTACAAAATTACAAAATAAATTTTTCCCTACTGAACTCATGATGTTTTGACTTTTTTTTATTATTTTGCTGGCTTCGACTATGTTTTGAACGTCTCATTACAGGCA